GGGGGGGGGGGGGGGGGGGGTCACTTGGGTTAATTTTTGTTGGGTATGTGCCGCTGGCCTCTCAGATCCCCGAACCCACTATAGTCTATACTGTGGCGATATTATAGACTCCATCTCAGTTACTTTTGAAAAAAAGAACATCCTAAAATGATCTGCCACATTTTTGTCAAACTTGGTGTGGTGTAAATCCTTCTATTTTTAAATCCCTACATACCTGAATTTTCTGACCCCCAAAATCCTGCAAAAGTGCGATCCCGTTCCAGTAACTCTTATAAAAATGTAACCCCATGATAGTCAATCCAGTCGTGAAAATGGGGCCCAATCCAGCAGCACATACCCATTAGCCTACTACTAAGAAGTACCCCCCACCCGGGCATTCCAAGCGCCCCAATACCAATAAGCGCCGCTATTCAATCACCGACTATTGTTCCATTCTATTGTGACAAGGTTGACCCTAATTAACGCAACCTAAGTGAACGGCCAAGAACACTCTCGATTGTTAAAATCAACAAAGGGCCTACAGCACAAAACATAGGGCCAAAGCGTATGGTTTTGAATGCCCGGTGCCTGGCAAAACCTGATGCAGTTCTGGCTCTTTATGCTGAGCTTAGTAACAATAACATTGATACCGTATTTCCTCGAATAATAGCCGGGGGCGATGACTATTTTTTTCCCACATAAAGGAGTCGATTATTTGAGGGGGCGATTATTTCAAATATTGCTCACTGGAGGTCGTGCCCTAAATATTTTGTTTTATTATTCCATTAAACCGAAAATTGATAACATCAAATAAACAGAACATGGCCTTTTTAAGTGTTCCAAATTTGGTTATTTGATTAATTTTCAATGTCTATATCCTTGGCACCCGAGCTTGAATTCTCACTAATCAGTTTTGCTGGATCAGGCTCCACTGCAACTTGACAGGGAGGGGATAAAAGCAAGAGAAGATGGCAAGAGGGGTGGGGGTGGGCGATTATTGGAGGGAGGCGATTATTTTTAACATTTCGGTCTAAGGAGGCGATTATTCGAGGGACGGCTTTTACTCGAGGACTGTTTTGTTTCGGAGTCATGGTTGAGTGTGATAATCTTCTGACATTCGAATTGGCCAGAGGGCTTTATTATGGTGAGGAAAGATCGAGCTGGTTCGCCGATCGGTGGTGGTGTTGCTATTATTTGTCGGAATGATTGGAAGGGTAAAGCGTTGAATGTCAATGATAGCTTGGAATTTGAGTCTTAGTTGGAGACCATGTCGCTTTGTAGACATGATGACCTCGTATAGCAGACGAGAATTCGCCTTCATCAACAACCTTCGAACTCTAAATGAAGGGATTGCCAGAAGGAGCCATGGTCGTAGACCTTTGCTAATTCTTGCTCATAAGGTGCCCTGCCCCTGTTTTATGGTTCGAGAGTTTTGCTTCGCAACATAAAAGAAATAGACGCCCTGTTTCGAATAAGCGCCCTCACTTGAGAAACCATAAGTATATAAGGGCTCCGGGCGCTAAATCGAGTCATTACGCTAAATAATTTAATGGCATTGTCTTTTGTTTAAATTATTCTGTAGTTTGTTTCCTCCTCTCTAAGCATTATGCTTTTGAAGTGGTGCAAAGGTTTGGTTGCCTTAGTGATCCTAAAGGCTACGTGCTGGGCAGGTTTCAGGTGAAAGGCAAGACACCTGGCCGTCCATGTGGGGGGTGGGGGGAGGGCGAGGGGAGGGGCGGTTAGACAATTCACTTACACTATTGCCGTGCATGCGGACAGGGAAAACAACAAAAACTAACTTGCAAAACAGACCTAAGTGAAGCTAAGAGTAACTTATAAAAGTGTAACTTATAACTTTGTTAAATGGTATAACAAATTTCAGACCAGTAATAGTTCAGATCACGAGAAGTTCTTTCTCAGGCTTAAACACAGCAAACCAAGCCACTTTTTCTAATTTGGAACTTGAACAGCGAGCTTACTGGACAGCTAAAAACTCTTCATCCTTAATGTTCTGTAACAATAATTTTTTCTATTCAATACATATTGTGTTCAGCGGCCAAACTTCCATAATTATAACATGACAATATTACTTCATCCACTAAGTGAAAAATGGCTATAATATAAGACTCTGCGGTTGTGTTTTCACTGAGTTAATTTAGCTAAAGTAGATAAAGCCAGAAAAGTCCAGAAATACAGTTAAAACACCTCGTCTTGTGTTAGCGAGTTAAACCTGCTCACTGTTTTTTCGGCTTTATGACCGAAAAATTACGAAAAGTTAGACAACCACGCGAGATGGTGTAACTTGTCCTGATAAATACCGAAGCCAATCGCGTTGCTCGTTGTGACAGACGCCTGCCAAATGACATTTTATATTACTACAGGCTGTAGTGAAGGGCTACCACCAGTGCCCATTTACAATAAGGACGGGTGAATCTTTTGTCCTCGATGAATAAATCGACAATTAATAGGTAAGACTTCTAATTGCTAATTCGTAGCCAGTGGTAGCGCAAACCTATCTGAAATCATTATTAAAGGATTACAATTGACAATCGATAAAATGGATGAAAATTGATGAAATTTTATAAAAACTGATACTCACAACTCTTTCAATCTTCGATATTTATCGATTACCGATATCAATCGCTTAATTACTATCGTTTAAAATCGAATAGAATCCATTATTTCGATTAACGAGTTTCATCAACGTGGCATGGCAAGTTAAACCCACGCTACTTACGGCAATTATTGCTGTTTTGCAGTTACATTTTGAAACAGGATTACAACATTGCTTCCTATCCTCTTACTCTTTAGAGACACTATTCAACTGCATTTATAAAATACAGTAGCGAGAATCATTAAACGAAAACACATTCAAAGCGCTTCGTCTCCTAACGTTTTTGAATGTGGCGCGCTTTTTAAATTTGAATCCTCTGAGTTCTACCGAGCTAAATTTAAAAGTGAAAACAGCTTGTAACCGTCGGTATGTCAACAAACATCTAGAAAAAATGTTCCGCTCAGCAGCAAATCGACCACAGTGAAAACATAGCCTCCTCCGCAGGCTTTTCCTCTCTTTCGCGCTTTTCTCCCCCCGCCCCCTACTCTCCCCTTTTTGCGCCTGCCACGCAGGCTACTCGCTCTAAAAACTAAAGAAGCGACGACCGGAAATACGTCTGCTGTTCGCAGGCAACCCCCGCAGGCGTTTTTAGAGGAGCTCGTATTTCTTTAGCCTGCGAACAGCAGACGTATTTCCGGTCGTCGCTTCTCTCCCTCCGAAAGTTCGTGAAAACACAACCGGTGAGTCATTTAGTAAGGGTGTGATGGAATACAATGTTTGGTGTACCCTATAGATAATGGCTATTTTTCACAGCTGATTTGAAATTTTAAAACAGACGAATTAATTAAAATGAATTAATACGTACAAGAAACTCATCATTGATTTTGAAAGTGCAGTTTGTAGCATATCTTAATGATTTATCAAGCCCTAAATTCGCGAAACCCCCGATAACTGAAAAAAAAAATGACTTCCCTTTCCCAAGCAAATAGTGGAATTTTATCTCGGTTTGTTTCGAACTTCCAAATAACTACAATATCCACTGTACTTACCTGCAACATGATATACCCATACTCCTTTCTTCCTTAACTTTAACGCACGTCTTATTGCGTCAACAGATAAAGGATTATGACTCAATTTTAGCACCTCCAGCTCCCTGAGGTCACCAATCTCAGCAGGTAGTTCAGTTAGTTTATTTACATTCAAGTTCAGCCTTACAAGCTTGGTCATCCTCTGTATACTGGTAGGTAAACCAAACAACTGGTTGTTACACACACTCAGCTCCCTCAGCTCCCTGAGGTCACCAATCTCAGCAGGTAGTTCAGTTAGTTTATTTACCTTCAATTTCAGCTTTTCAAGCTTGGTCAGCCTCTGTATACTGGTAGGTAAACCAACCAACTGGTTGTTCCTCACACGCAGCTCCCTCAGCTCCCTGAGGTCACCGATCTCAGCAGGTAGTTGAGTTAGTTCATTTTTATCCAAGTAAAGCCATTCTAGCTTGGTCAGCCTCTGTATACTGGTAGGTAAACCATCCAACCGGTTGTAATTCACACACAGCCTCCTCAGCTCCCTGAG